TTTTTGTGAATGTGATTAGGGAAAATCAAACCACCTGATAAAAGTTCATGAGAACTATGTTGGCCATGAAAAATGTTGTGTTGTCTAAGGAACTCCAAAATCATTGACCTTGACGAAGAACTAATAGGAAGCCAAGACACAAAAATAAGAAACTCCCTAAGCTTCAAAATGTCATTTATATAATCTCAAAAATCGTGAAAGAATATTTAACAGGAAGATCAGATCTTTGTATTGGTATTAGTCAAAGAGAGAAGTTGTGAGCTGGAAAATAAAATGTTAAATATAAAAATGGATAAATTGAGTACTCAGTAATTTTTCTATAATTTGTGTGGGGTGGGGGGATGGCGTTTGAACTCAGGGCCTGGCATTTGCTAGGCAGGTACTCTACCTCTTGAACAACAGACCCAGCCCCACCCCTTCTTTTCTGTTGGAGTGGGGCTTGAACTCAGGGTGTCTTGCAAAGCAGTATTCTACTGCTTGAGTCATGCCTCTACCCTCAATTTTTCTCTACAATTTTAAAATATTTTCTTCAAATACATTCAATAATGTATTAAATGTGCAGAATTAAAATTAATGCTACATACATTATTTTTTTGGTGAGACTGGGGTTTGAACTCAAAGCTTCATGCTTGTAAAGTAAGGGCTCTACCACTTGAGCCACACCTCAAGTTCATTTTCCTGTGATTATTTTAGAGATGAGGACTTGCAAACTATTTGCCTGGGTTGGCCTCAAACCTCAGTCCTCTCAATCTCAGCCTCCCAAGTAGCTAGGATTCCAGGCTTGAGCCACAAGTGCCTGGCAACATATTTTGACAATTTTCTTTTCTTTCTTGCAGTGGTAAGGATTGAATCCAGGGTCTTGTGCATGCTAGGCAAGTGCTCTGCCACTGAGCACTTTTTGAAAATTTTCAAAAATTTATTTTAAAATGTTAAAAAAAATTATCCCCAAATTTCCATTTCGGTTTTGCCCCTTAAGGAAGAGTTATAGGAGGAAGAGCACAAGCCCAGTGCTGCAGCTTTGACACCACCATCTCATAGACTGGTGATCTTGACACCAAGGTCAAGGGTTTGGTTGCAAGTGGCAGAAACTCAACCATGGAACCTCAGGGAACAGGGTGTCTCAGGTTGGTTTTAGTTTGTTTGGTTTGTAGAGAATATTTACAGAAATTAGAAAAAACTGAAATTATGTTTCTCAGGATTAACAGAAAAGTTGAACCAGCAGGGTTCTTGGGAGGGAGGCAATGAGAAGTTTGAGCATTTGAGGGGGAGTCACTTCTTGATGAACTATCAATTATCTGAGAAGTGTTTTAAAAACACAGATTTCAAGGTCTTAACTGAAAAGATTCTTATCTAGCATATCTGAGGACAGGCCTGGTTCCCTGTGTTTTAAAAAGGTTTCCCACTAGCTTTTGAAGGCCCTGCTCTGTATTTCCTGACTTTGCAGTTTGCTTGGTGCTGCTTCATGATTACTTCAATACTATTTGGTTCCCTGGGCTTCTACTCTTTCTGTCTTTCTTTACTCCAGGCTGTGTTGCACTTCTCCAAGCCTGCCCTCAGATGTCACCTTCTCAGTGAAGCCTTCCCTGTCCTTGCAATTGCACCCTACCCCCACACTTCCTAGTCCCTTTCCTCACCACCCTGTAATATACTATATTTTCTTTTCTATCCTGCTTATTGCTTATCCCCTCCCCCAGAATTCAAGATCCAAGAGTCAGAATTTTCGTGTATTTTGTCAGGGCTACAATCCCAGCACCTGTAAACAAAGTATTTAATAAACACTTGTTGAATGAAGGAGTAAATAAATGTGTGAATGGATGCTTTCTGTTTAGTCATTGTTTGGCTGACCTTAACTTCTGCTCACTGGTGATCTCCCTGGGCCCTTCCTGACCCTGGCTACCCTCTATGGGTCCTTTTGGAATCAGCTTCCCCAGTTTGCCTGATTTGACCAGTTTTTATAGGGAACATTTTTTCCCACATCATTTTTTACATGGGTATAACTTTCCTACTTAGAGGTCAGCACCCACCCAGCAGCAACCAAGGGTGATTCAGTGAATACCACACACACACACACACACACACACACACACACACTCACACACCCCACAAAAGAATACTGCTTGGGGCCACCCCTTTAGCAAGGGCTTTGGGGACTGTAATTTTTCCAAGAAGCCAGAATTTGGTGCTGAGGGGATGTTCAGCAAATTGCCTAACCTGCTATTCTTCGGTAAAGGAGCATTGACAATACCTGTCTAGCTTACCTTGGTGAATTCCTTGGCGACTCAATTGCATGATGCATGGAACATACACATAAAAAATGTTTTCAGTATTAATTTATAATAAAACTAAAACAAGATGAGTATGAGGAGTAATATAATTTTAAATGCCATCTAAGCGTGGCTTTAAAAAAATCCTAAGGGAAATTGTAGCAGAGAAATTAGGAATTTAGAAACTTATTGTTTAAAGTGCTTTTTTGCATTCTTTTTCCCCTAACTTTGAATACTTTTAAATGTTATTCTCATTTCATATTGATTTCTAGTTGGCAGGGACTTTGTACATAATTTCTAAAGTGATATTTAAGAGGTCTATGTGTAAAGGTACTCTATTTCCAAAAACAAATTGTAAAATGCAGGTTTGGAGATGTGTTTTTATAGCTTTATATGTGATCAGGGCTTAAGACAGACTTGAGGATATCTTTGTTCATTTTTAGTTGGTGATACCTTGATATTTATGAATAGTATGGGGAGGTAGAAAAGAATTAATTTGATAGACAAATTTTGAAATATCACCATTAGGCAGCAGAAGATTATACATCTCTATTCCTTTTCAAAGCCGGAATATGTGATTCAGTGGCTGATGGAGGAGATGAACCAGGCAGAAATAAAGGCCAGATGTAAGATGGAATATACTGTGATTGCCGACTTCAAAGGTCTACAAGGTTACTGCATATAGAAGGGGAACCTGGCTGTTCCATACTCGACAAATTTTAGTACTACAATCAGATCCTCTGGGCACTTTAGTACACATTGTTTCATGTTTATAGTAATGATTTAAGATATATTTATTATTGGTTTTCCCTTTTAGACTTGAGTATACTCATACTTCGAGCTAGGTTTTGTGCTTGTCCAAGGTTACACAGCTAGGAAGTTATAAAACTAGGATTTTACCTCATTGCTTTGAAGTCTATGTCTAGTGATGTCTCTACCAACACCATAGTTACCCTGCAAATTTATAGAAAGACACATTTCGTTTCAACATAGGGGCCTAGTAGGATTATTCAAAGATGAATACCATTGTGATGTAGTGAGCGGCTCACTGTCACCTGGCATTCAAGCTAATAATGCTGGAGATCTGTTTTGCAAGGATGTTTTAGTCTTATCATGCACCCCTTACTAACAAAATATTACAAACATGTTAATCACAGAGCCAAAAGAACCCCTGAAATGAGGCCTAGTGAATTTAGGTAATGGAGCTGAGTTCATTTCAGTACTCCTTGGAAGATACAGCACTTGAACCTCATTCTCTGAATTTCTAGTCTAATTTTTCTTGTTGTCGTTAGTCTCATTTAATGATTTGGGTAAATACAATGAGGAACCAGAAGGTATATAGAAAGAGGAAGGGCAAGGATGTTTTGTGAGTTGTTATAATGGATTGTTTGGCATGTCCTTACTTTATTTGGATAAGCAAAAAATGTGAGTGGTAGTGAAGGGAGTTTAAAATGATAAGCAGAGAATGCCACATAGTAAAAACAGAACATAGCACTGTGGAAGGTTAAGGAAGATAAATGTTGTTGAGTAGATGCTCAATATCTTTCTGTTGGAATGGATAATGACTGCAATACTTAAACAATTAAAGAGAATATACTTCGTGCTGAGCTCTGTGCTGTGTTTTGGGAGTCAAAAATTAGCTGGACAAAAATCCCTATTCTTTTAGCAAACACAAAATCTAGGGAAAAAAAAAGACTACCAAAGAAGGAAATGGGAGAAAAGAAAGTGCTGAGGATTACTAAAGAATAAGGGGCTGTATGAAAATAGAGAAGAAAAAAAAGTCTAATTCAGTGTAGGCCTATGGGGTGAGGATACAGGCATGGTATAAAGATGTCAGGGAAGATTCCAAAGAGGAAGCAATGCATTGTTTTCATTATCTTTAAACATGTTAGGAATTCACCTGGTTAAATGAGGGATGTATTTCAGATGAAACTACAAAGACACAGATTCAGCCTGTTGAATCTGTGTGTGATATGTGGGAAGGGCAGGAGTTGGGGCTTGAGCTGAAGAGGATGAGGATTTAGATTCTAAATGGCCTTGTCTATCATGATAATGACCTTGAACCTGACCCAACTTCAGAGGTGGAGAGTTTCTGAGGGTTTAAGAGAAGTGTCATACTCTGGCAGTTACATGGAACCCAAGCAGAAGTGAAATTAGAAAGACTCGGCATGAACACTGGCAGAGGTTAAAGTAGTGGAGAGGGAATGTTAGTCCCAGAGTTAACAGGAAAATTCATCTATAGTATCTTAAACCAGAAAATTTTAGTAGAGAGAAGTTTTGGTGCCTCATCGTTAGAATGGCAAGCTTTTGTCAATGGAACTAGGTGATGATTAGTGCAGTGAGTGGCAGAGTACTATGGAAGGGTTGGGATTGGACCACGTGGCCACTGTGGTTTTGTGTGGATTAGTTGATGACTCTTTGAACTGAATTCAGGAAATGACATAAAATGACTTGTGCAATAAAATGAAAAGAAAGAGGACTCCAAAGTCATAACATTTGGAGAGAAATAACTAGGGTTGATAAGACACGGAAGTAGTCATCATCGGAGCGCCCCATTTGTGGATTAATTTTGGATTTCCCAATGGAAAGAGCTTCAAAACAAAAGTCTTGCATCCAGCGGTTCCTTACCGCAACCCTTTCCCCTCTAGCCTTCATCCTTCACCCACACCACAGACCCCTTTCCTGGTTTCTGCTGGAGGGGGTGCATGGGGGCAAAAAAATCCCAAGACACTGAGGATGGAGGATGAGCATGTTAGAATTTGGAAGATCTTGGAGACTGTACCCTGGAATGTGCACACTTCAGAAAGGGGTCACAGGAAACACGACAAGGTGTCCGGCAGCGGTCCTTCCTTACGCCCACCCTTCCTGCCCCGGGGTCCGGGCTCCGAGCTCAGCGAGAGGCGGAGACTGCGGGGGTCGTCAGACACCCGGGTCGCCCAGCCCCCAGCCCCGGTGGGATTGCGGCCCCGCCCCGCCGCCACCGCCACTGCCACCGCCACCCGGGCGCACGCGAGGTCGCGCGGACGCGGGTCAGGCGGGTAGCGGGTGCCGGGAGGTGGCCGGGCCACCCGCGCCGCCGCCCCCCGCCTGACGCACGGAGGGGCCGGGCCGCGATTTGCCGCGAGTGACTGGAGCCGCCGCGCCGCGGGCCCGCTCCGCCCCCGGCCCGCCTTCCTCCCGCCCGCCCTCCGCCTCCGCCCGCGCCGCGCTAGCGTCCCGGTGTCGTCCCCAGCGCCCGGAGCCGCCGGCCGCCCGCCCGCGCCCGCGCCCGCGCCCGCGCCAGCCAGGTGAGTATGGCCCCGCGGCCCGGCCGCCGGGCGGGGGAGCGCGCAGGCCCGGGCGGACAGGCGGGAGGACAAGGAGGAGGCGGCGGCGCGGGGCCCCGCTTCCCTCACCGCGCGGGCCGCGGACCGAGGGGGTCGGAGACCGGCCGCCGCCCCGCTTCCCCGCTCCTCCGGCCCGCCGCGGTCTGGCCCCGCCGCCGCCGCCGCAGACAAAGCGCCCGAGGTGGAGCCCCGCGGCCGCCCTGCCGCGCGCCGCCTGCCGGGTGCGGCCCCGGCCCCGGCCCGGCTGCCTCCTCCCCCCAACGAACGAGCGCCCTTGTTCATGTCAGGGCCAAGGGGACCCGAATCGTGCAACAGGTTTGGGCGTGCATCCCGTTTTCCCGCGGGTCTCGTCCTCCTCCTGGCGTACGGGGACGAGAAGTGTCGCCGGCCCCGGGCGCAGTCCCCGTGTCCGGCGTCCGCGGCTGGCTCCTTTGTGTGACCGGTGACCGGCCCTGCCCGCCGCGCTGGGGACCGCGGACCCATCCCGCGCGTGTAGTGGGGCTTGGTGGCCCCGGGCCTGCAGGAGGTTAGCGTCCCTCCGGCCTCTGGGGTCACAAAGGGGCGAAGGGACACCGAGCAGGGTCGTGGCCGTGCGTTTGCAGGCTTTGGCAGAACAGAACAGAGAAGCCGCATCTGACCCGCGCTCCGAGGGGAACGCGCGGGTTTCCCCGGGATGCGTGGTCTGGCCTGGCCGGGCTGTGACAGCCCTGGGGCTCTCTTGGCGATCTGACATCTTTCACGAGTTGGGAGTGCTGTTGAGGGCGTAAGTAGGGAGCAGCCTTTTGACAGGTTATAGGTTTCCTCACGTTTTGTCTGTAATCAAGCGTACCCATCACGCAGCCCCAGCATAGCCTGCAAGCATGCCCTCGAATCAAAATTGCTACTCGGATTACCTCCATGCCGGCAAGTCTTAAACCATCTGGTTTTCTTTGGTTTGATGAAGCTTATTTTCTTAGTGTGAGAAATACCACCCCCCCCCCCCCGCCGAAGAGTACATAATAAAGAACAATTTACCTTTGTTTACATACCTTGGATCATGCTATACCTAGCTGGTTACATTGGTATGCTATTTTAGTCTAACAATACTAAATAGAAGAAAATTATCTTCCTTTGGCTTTGGGCAATAAAATACTTTCTTTGTTCTAGAACCAGGAAGCCTTTATACATAATACTTTTTTTGAGGACAGGAGTTGGTGACTGTCTTCACCCCATGACTAAATACATAAAAAATATTCCCGAAGCAGCTAGAAAACATTACACAACTCTATTGATTGTTTTTATATCCCAATTCCAGAAATCGTTTCTCTGAATATTTATTCAGACATTCTGGGCTAAATTTAACCTTAAAATTGGGCCTACCATAGCTAGTTCCCACACATTAGGGAAGAAGTGAATTGATTATGTGTAAAGAGTTTTCCAAGTATTTTATCCCTTGTGAATAACAGTTGGAAGGAATAATTGAAGGGGATTAAGATCTAGTGATGGACCAGAAATCTGGCCACAGAATGAAAACACAGAAAATGGTACAGATTGAAAAGTTACATCTACCTGGATTTTAGTTGATTGGTGGGCCCCTACTGCTATTTTAAAAAGGTGATCTTCTAATGACATCTGAGAACTAAATATTCACTAATTAAAAAAACAAGCCTGGTGTGATGGTGCATGCCTGTGATTCCAGCACTCAGCAGACTAAGGCAGGCAGATCATGAATTTAAGCTAGCCTGGGCAGCATAGTGAGGCTGTCCAAACAACAACAATCCTAAACCAGAACAATGACAATAACAACAAAATCAACTGAAGTATCACATTTGACCTTTTTTTAAAAAAAAAAATGTATTCTGTCAGGACTCCTGGAAGCTCCTTCTACCCAGTACTAGTAAGGGCATTTGCTTTTTAAGAAATGAAGTTATACCAAGTTGATCAGATTTGTAGAAAGTTTCTTTGGCATAATACTTTCACTTTAGTATAAATACTGTTCATTTGTGTAACATCCAGCTTCAAAGAACTTTTACAGCTCTTGCAAGAAATAGGAGAAACCTTGAAAACAGCAAGATACTTACTAATAAAAAGTAGCAGAAACCTAGATTTCTATAATAGCTTTTTTGAGATTAATTTCATATAATATTCACTATTATAAAGTGTGCAGTTCAATTTTCGTATATTCACAAGATTGTGCAAGCATCATTAATTCAAGAACACTTTGAACATGCCGGAAAGACCCCCACCAACCCTGTACCCTAACCGTTTTCCCCCTGTCCTGCACATGGCAACCACTAATTTACTTCTCTCTGTGGATTTACTTATTCTGGACATGTCATATAAATGAAGTCATGCAATATGTGGCCCCTTGTGTCTTTCACTTAGTATAATGCTTGTTCTGGTGTATGTGAGTACTTGATTCATTTTTATGGGAGAATAATATTCCATGGTATGCATATTCTTTCTGTCCATTCTTTAGTAGATGGGCATTAGGGTTGTTTCCACTTTGGCTGTTATGAATTATGTTGCTGGGAATACTAATTTGCACTAGTTTTTGTGGGGATGTGTGCTTTCATTTCTTTCTTTGGGGTGTGTGTGCATCACTGTGGAATTGTTGTGTCATATGGTGACTGTCAACTTTTTGACGGACTGCTAAACTATTTTCCATAGCTTCTGTACCACTTGACATTCCCACTAGCAATGTGTGAGAGTTCCATTTTCTCTGCATCCTTGTCGACACTTGTTAATGTTTTGTCTTTTTGATGACTACTCTCCTAGTAGCTGTCAAGAGATGTTTGATTGTGGTTTTCATTTGCATTTCATTTTTTCATATTTTTATTGGCTATTTGTATGTCTTTGGAGAAATGTTTATTATAGTTTCTAAATTTGTGTTTTTCATATCTATTTTTCATTCTTTTAAAATCATATAAAAGTTAGTTTCTGTGTATTTTACTGGTAGGAAGCTAAGGTACACAAGAGATACAGTAATTTGCTTGCTTTTTAACCTTATAGTTAGGATTAGCTCTTCTGTTTCTGCTTCCTGCATTCTTTCCACTCAATGAGGCATACAGAAGTTACAGTGTTCATGAATTTGTTTGGCTAATCAGTTACAAAGTTGGAGAAAAATAATCCAAAAATCAAACCAAACAAAAAGAAGCAGGTGTGGCCACACCTGTCTTATACTCATCAGATTTTATTATGCTTTTTCAAATAAATTCTTTGCTTTCTCCTATTTTAACAAAAGGTAGGTATGATTTGTATATTTCAAGTGGGGAAACAGAGTCCCAGTGATTAAGCCCAGGAGCAGCTTTCTCCTGGTCTATCTTGTCCTCAAACTGATCTCTGCTCTCTCACATTCCGTGCACTTTCTGTTCTGCAACTTTCATGGCCTCTGTTTTCCCACGAGTTTATTCTCTCTCAGGATAAAATAATTGTGGTAAAATAATTGAACTCTTTCACATTTTACATAAACATTAAGATTTTTCTGGATTAAATTTAAATTAACTTGTTTTTGGAAGAGGCTACTGTGGCAGTTTCACTTTGAATACAGAGTTACTTAAGGGACTTAGCTTTTATGTGCTGTTTTGTATCACACATAGGGAAGTATGCAAAATTCTAACCTCTTAGAAGCTAGGTAGGAACTGCACGTTATTTATTTATCATGGCAAATCCATTGTCCAGTATAGTGCCTGACACATAGCAGGGACTCTTAACTTTGTTGAATGGATGAATACAAATGCATTTTTCTAATTATTAAAAAAAGAAAAAGAAAAATTACCTAGTACTCTGAAATATAAATTCCCGAAAATCTAGAACTGATAAAAATTGGAATTTGACTTAAAATTCAACATCGTCTCTTGTAGCAGGAAGTAAATGTTGTAATAAGTTCTGTGTACCTGGTGCTGGCATTTGTTTGTTTTCTAAGTACTTAGCCTGGCGTCGCCTCCTGAAGTTGTACCCTGAGTGTTCTTTCTTTCTTTCAATGAATGAATGAGCAGTGAGTTCCTAAAATAATTAGTTTTTGCTCTAACGAGTAGAGGAGATACTGGAAAAGAATATTTAGGCCTGCCTTTAACTTACTTTAATTGTCAAATATGATGCATGTTAATTGTAACAAATCAAAGAACGGGTGGGTATATAGAGTACAGGCTGAAAATCTCCACTTCTTGTCTCCCTTTCTTTAACCCAAGACCACTCCAGTCTCAAATAACAATCATTAACATTTTGCATCTTCTGTTTCAGAACCTTTATCCTGGCATTTATGTGTGTGTGTATATACATATGTCATTTCACATAGTCCACCATACGTACATAGATGTATATTCACAGTGACTTTTTTTTTTGTAAATGGGGTCATACTACAGATATTCTTTTGTTTTTCACTTAAATATTTTAAGATCTTAACATCTTTTTTTTTTTTTTCTTTTTTGGCAGTAGTGGGGGTTGAACTCAGCCTCTGTCTTGGTAGGCAGTTAGGTGCTCTATCACTTGGGCCACTGCACCAGTCCTCAGATTTTATCGTCTGTATTCATGGAGGATAGGAATAAAATTTATGCTTTCTTTTTAGTTTGTGGCCTTGCCTGGTTTTAGTGTCAAGATTAGGCCAGCCTCCTAGGATGAATGGGAGACTTTCCCTTTTTTCTGTGCTCTGAAAGTTTCAGATTTCCAGCCTAACAATCTTTATTAGGTATCATCTGACAACTGCTGGGAAGGAAGAGAGCTGAGATCACCTTTCTAATTTTTCCTGTTTGTATGCTCTCAAGGTTCAGCACTTGTTTTCTATTACATTTTATGAAGATAAATGATTAAATGAATCGGTGTATGCAAGAGGGTATGAGCTTTTCTTAGACCAGGGTAAAGTCCTAGATATCTCTTTACTAGTTGTATAATTGCAGGCAAGTTACTTACCCTCTTCAAAGTTTGGGCTTCTCACCTGTACAAAGATGATAAGTTTTACTCACAGGAGTCTTGAAAGTATTAAA